ACGCCGGCGGGCACGCGCCGGGTGCAATGGTAGAGAAAAAGAACACTCTCGACCTCGAGGAAACGCCGGCGGGCACGCGCCGGGTGCAATGGTGAAGAAAAGAGCACTCTCAAGCTCGAGGAAACGCCGGCGGGCACGCGACAAGGCTAGGTGACATCTCGGTAGGGGATCGACTAGGGCCCCAACATCTCGGTTCAATCAACAACTTCGCACGGAATGGTTTGAAATTACTCGAAAACTCAACTTCTTCGGGAAATGCTCGTATCTCAGTAAGTGACTCGATTCTCTCTCTCTCTCCATCTCCGAAATACCTGAAATTAATAACCGAAAAACACGAAAAAGTACGCCAAAATATAAAATAAAATGAAAAGCATAAAAACACACGATAAACGACAAAATGGACCGGCCAACCCTAAAACAATCCTAGAATCGACTCGAAAGCACACAAAAACACATAGAACAAAAGCACAAAAACATAATAAACATTTAGTTAATAGAAAAAAATATACCATCAAAATAACATATCATTGCAATTTATAAATTATACTTTACATAATCTATCATCTTTCTCATTTGTAATACATTTTAATAAATTTATACAATCACAAAAGTAAAAAATATTGATAAAATTACTTAATGTACAATATCAATTTGAGCTGGCTAATGAGAAATATAAAACATACTTAAGATACACATATATTTTACCTAGAACTTTTAAATACATAATATATACATATATATATATATATCTATATATATGTATATTTCTTTAGAAGTGGGTATGTTAATCTTAAAATTTTTTAGTTAAAATTTTTATTACTTTCTATCATTACATTTTTTAATTTTGAAATACTTCAAATTTTTCTACCATTTATTTTCAATGATGTTTGAGTTGACCAACATTCTGTAAATAAAATAAAAATAATATAATTATTTATATCGATAAAAATAATATATATATATATATGTATCAATACTAATTTAAAATAATAAATTGATCTAAAAATATATTATATAATAAATTTTATATTCAAGTTAAATAAATTATATTAAGTATAAAATAACATAAGATAAACTTGTGGTATATTTTTCTTACATATTTGAAATAATTCATATTTAAAAAAAAAGTAAAAAAAAAAGGATGGATGTAAACTTATAACTATTCTCACGTTTTGGCTAGAACGCCCAAAATCTGATATAGATTTGACACGAGTTTGTCGTAATGCTGAAACTATGGTGCACCTTAAGGTACAAACGAAGCGAAGCGGAGTGAATTCATAGATAAAAAGTAAGGCTAAGCCAGGGAAGAGAAATATGATAACATTAGCTATGCGAAATAAATGAGTTGTACGTTAAATTAAGAGTCAATTACTGCTTGAAAATGAACCTTATAATGGTGGTACCATATATGTATTCAGTGATTATGAAATGACTTAGTTACTTAATATTATATCAAACATTGGAAGAAATTCTAAACTTTTTAATCTAATAATTAGTATAAAAAGTACATTTTTATCAAATATATTAAATTATATTTTATCTTATGTGATTATATTAATTGTAGCCTTATAAATAAGATAATTTGAGAACATCATCATATAAAACACATACAAAAAATAATGCAATACATATAAATGTGCTTTAGTTACTTAACAAAAAAATATATTATTTGTCTATAGAATAAGAAACAAACAATAATAGTAACGCAATGAGAAAAAAAGAAAATGTGCGAATTTTCTTAAAGTACGAATACCAATAGTTACAAACAAAAAGTCTTTTAAAATTACTACTTTTTTGTTGCTATCATTTAAATATATGGACTCTGTAAGAAATTGGTTGTCATAAATAATAATGATCATATATTATTTATTTTTAGTTTTAAATCCAAATATTTGTAATACATAATGTACATTTTAATCATGACTCCATAATAATAAATACAGATGACTAAAAGTATCGTAATATAATAGAATTCTAATTATTCTCACGTCAAATATTTTAACAAATGATATGCTTCTCAATATTTTCTCATTGTTTTGTTTGTTTTGTTTTATCATTGTTGGGGAATAAAGAAATGATCATTATAATTAATTTATAATCATTTTGTATGATGAATAATGTTGGACGATAAAAGCATTAAAGAAGTTATTAGACACACATATATTGCATATTCAAATGAATGGAAAAGATAATGATAAACAATTCTAAAATCACTGCCACAACCGTGATGGTCAATGATTTTCAAATAATAGATTATATCGTTCTTCTATATCTAAATAAATAACACTGGAAATGAAATGTAGGAGTATCAAAACAGTTTTGAATGTTCGAATTAAGTTGTCACATTTTATAGAAATATTTAAAATCTCATTGGTGTATTATGCTCGAACACATGTGCAATTACTTTAGAGGTACTTTCAGGTAATGTATGCTGATTACAAAAGATAATTAGCACCTCGGGAGAAGTAATATAACCAAGATTTTGGAAAGTTAACTTTGATTTGGAGATAAAATTCATTCCCACCTCGTGGGGCGATGCATCAATTGAGTAGACACCAACCTCTCTAAAGACAGAAGAATGTAGTAGTTTATACAATAATAAAAAATATCAACAATTTCAATGACACCGTTAGTTACTTCATAGAGATATTTATGCTTTGCTAGTAGAAGTACCTTATTATACAGATCATACGATCATGAAGTTTGACTATATGTTGAGTCAGAATGTTTCTTAAGTGTTTGAATAAAATTGGCGTTTTGCAAAATTAATTAAGAGGAATTTTGCAATAATATTGATTATTGAACTTGAACGAGTATGAATGTTTCTTATGAGAACGTCAAAACCAAAATTAAAGAAAATTTTTGTGTTTTTTTATTAGAGATTTGTTTTTTTTAAAACGTTATTTCCCTCTTTTTATATTAAGGCATCATTAAGTTAATTTTAAATAAAAAAATCACATATGAGTTCATTTGTTCTATATTTTACTTAATTAATTTCTGCAATGATATATTAATTTGTTTTACAAACTTACTCAGCGAAAATCAATCGACACCACGTGCATTGCACGTGCATTTTACTAGTCAGAAAGAAACGCCGCCACAAGACGCGAGAAGAGGACAGAGGGAAGAACAAATGCGGGGAAGCCAATTAATAGGGGAGGGTGACCACACCCGCACACACGAGGAGGATAATTATATATTTTTAGTTATGTCAAAGTAAATTTTATTTCTAATTCTGAGGATATCTAACCCTACGCAGTTGGCTATATTTATTAATTGCGGTGACTTATTTTACTATTTTTATGAAATTGTTTGTGTAATTTTGATTGAAAGCACATATCTATAACTTAAAGAAGCAATTGATGATCCAAACTATATGAAGGGCATGGTCATATTAACACCAACATTTGAGATTTTGAGTCAGTTAATCAATATTACACGACGTTGTTGAATATGAATGAAAGGACATACGTATTTGAGTTTTGACGGTATGTGCAAATCGGATTGCAAAAACAACTTTTTATATGATCTACACACACTTGAGTTCTTAAATTATATCAAATGTTCCGAAGTGTCGAATCACAAGTTGCATTTGAAGATAGAAACTCCGACCATGTTGTTGAGGAACATAAAAATGTCTATGGGGATGTTCAACGAACGCGATTGGTTGTTACAAAGCTCTCAACTCATATGCTGAATGTAAAATCCTCACTAGAGATCATTAATTTATGTGAGAAGATATTCATTCCACAGATGACGCTAACTCCTATGATGTTATGATGCCTTTCAATTGCCAACAAAAACAGTTCCCACTAATGGTTTCTTATGCTTTGGCGTTATACAAGAGTCAATGTCAATCTTTATCGCATTTTGACATGTTTCTAAAGAAACAAGTGTTTAGTTACGGTAAATTGTATGTAGCTATTTCACACGTTACGAATAATAATGATTTGAAGATTTTAATTTGTGGCGATGACGATATAGCAAAAAATCAAATAAAATAGAATGTTGTATACAAATAGGTGTTTAATAATATATTAAAGATATTTTACTTTATTCCAATAAATATGTTTTATATTTCGAACAATGATTCCATTATTCAATTTAAAATACTTCTCTTAATATTACTTGTCGGTGCATCGTACGAAAACCGCACTACTGATATAATAAATAACGGGTCTAATAATTATACTTCATAAATGACAACGAATAAAGCAACGCAGTAAGATAGAAGCAGCCACACGAAACATTGCACATATAGATTACGTGAAAGAGTTATCCGTTTCAAATTAGAATTGATCATGACGGCCTATAAAGTCAAAAATTTTCTTTTAAAAAAGAAAGATCATGCTCACCAAATTCACTAAAAATATGGTGTATACGTACAAATTTAGATAACAATATTCATTACATGTGTATATACAATGTAAAAGATTCCATTCAAGTAGCTATTAATGTGTGTGTCTGTTGTTTGTATGATCGAGTTGAGTAGAGTTGTAAACGGGTTGTATCGACCTCTCGAGCTTGAGCTCTCAATACTTGAGCTCGAGCTCAAGCCCTTATCGAGTCGAGATGTTAAAATATATAGTCGATAAATGAGCTCGAACAAAAGGCAGCATCAATCAAATGTCCCTCTCAAGATTGTGTTTTTATTCCCTTGTCGTCAATTATTAATCCTTATCTGCGTTGTAGAAAGATTCTAAGCCAACTGGCAAGACAATTATTCCCATTAACCTCACCAATTTTTTTTTTAATTTATTCATATATTTCCATTTTACAATATCTAATTTACATAATGACCCCCTCATTGCATTAAACCATTGATCTTTTACAATATGGGGCGAACAGATTTTGTAGCAACATTATTCTCACTTTCTTTCAGCGTTACGGTCGTGTTGTCCGGCTCAGCCTCGGCTCAACTCAAACCGAACTATTACGCGAATGTCTGCCCTGACGTCGAGAACATTGTCCGACGAGTCGTAACCGCTAAGTTCCAACAGACTTTTGTTACTGTCCCGGCCGTAATCCGCCTCTTTTTCCATGATTGTTTCGTCTCGGTAAATGCTTAAAAACGTTACTTTTTACGTCGCGCGCGTCAGATTTCTTGTTCTACTTTCATATGTTTTAAATCAATATTATCTACTTATTAGCAAACTATCCAAATTTTATTTTGAAAATTGTCCTATGAATAATGTGCAATTAGTGAAACTAGAAACATATATGTAAACAAATAGTATTTGTTTTGTTCAATGTAATTTTCTTTTTCTAGTTCATCATTATGGTGATGAAGATAAAAATGAAATTGCATAATGAATCATTATTGTAGGGTTGCGATGCATCGGTAATAGTGGCGTCGACTCCCGGAAACACAGCCGAAAAGGATCATCCGGATAACTTATCGCTGGCCGGAGATGGATTCGACACGGTGATCAAAGCTAAGTTAGCCGTTGATGCGGTCCCCAGATGCAAAAATAAGGTCTCTTGTGCTGATATTCTTGCATTGGATACTAGGGATGCCATTGTCCTGGTTCGTACTTCTTCTTTTTTTTTTTTTTTAATTATTATTATTATTATTATTGTTATTATTATTAGGAAAACAAATAATATAACGAAATTAATAAAGAAAATTATGGAAATTGATATAATTACTGGAGTATTTGCAGTCTGGTGGGCCTACGTACACCGTGGAGTTGGGCCGACTGGATGGGCTGAGTTCAACGGCCGCAAGTGTGAATGGAAATCTGCCTCAGCCAGGCTTCAATTTGAATCAGCTCAATGCCATGTTTGGTTCCAGGGGATTGACTCAGGAGGACATGATTGCTCTCTCAGGTGCGTATGTGCTAACAACTAAATGTTGAAATTCATTTTATTTCACTAACAACGCTGGTGCTACGGTCTCGTTACGGAACAAACTCCGACAGAATGATTCAGTAACGGAACCGTAATATTTTCCTATATTTATACAATAATTATTAGATTTATACTATGTAATTATAAATCTCCACATAATTATCATCTTAATGTATCAAAGAAATTTGTGTCATGTACTCATACTGATTATTTTTTGGTACTATAAAGCCTGCCACACCGTAGGATTCTCACACTGCAACAAATTCTCGAACCGAATATACAATTTCAGCCGTCAAAACCCGGTTGACCCGACCCTAAATCCACAATACGCGGCCCAATTGCAGGGAATGTGCCCGATAAATGTGGACCCTAGGATCGCCGTCAGTATGGACCCGACAAGTCCGAGGACGTTCGATAATGCCTACTTCCAGAATCTTGTCCAGGGCAAGGGCCTCTTCACCTCGGATCAAGTATTGTTTACGGACACGAGGTCAAGAAACGCGGTTGCTACTTGGGCCTCGAACAGTGGGGCCTTTAATGCTACTTTTATCCAGGCCATCACTAAATTGGGCCGGGTTGGTGTCAAAACCGGGACGAACGGAAATATCCGGTTCGACTGTGGCAGATTTAATTAATTTAATCTAAGAAACCCCAAAAGAAAATAATAACATTTGATTGAGGCGTGTTCAATGCTTTTTATTTTTCTTTTATTTGAGTCATGTTCGAATTTTGTAAAATTATATCTAATTTATATATGACTACGCATAATATTCCATCTCAATCAATTGTAACAAGTTGTTAGACTATTCTTATTCATGACCCGGTCAGTCGTGCACTAGAGACAAAGAAAAATATAAAAGAATTAAAATCAACCACTCAGGTAAAATTTTGACCTTGGTTTGTGACCGGTTTTGGGGTTAAAAATGACACACATGTTTCATTTTTATTGGATAAGTGTATTTTTAAAAAAATTTAAAAAATATTAAAAATTCGTTATTTTTCATTCTATATAAATATAAGCCACATGTGGGTTTTGGAAAAAAATTATAAATTTCTAAAAAAAAAATAAGTATTTAGGTTGAATTGAGTTTGAGATAAAGAAAAATATGATTGTAAGTTGAGTTGTGTAGATGGATAAGAGAAATATTTTAATTATTAAATTGAGTTGGGGTCGGTGATTGATTCCCAGTATAGTTAAAATCTCTCTATTGGATATCCAAAGACCTGGATTCCGCTATCCTTTTCCGCATTTGTAGTTTCAAATTATTATTATTAGCTTAATCCTCGTGTTTGTAGTTTTAAATTTTTTATTATTAGATTGAGTTGGGGTCGGTGTTTGGCTGAGTTTTGTAGCCACCTAACCTGCGGCGACCTCAAATACTCTTGCTTTGCGAGCTCCATTACCTGATCCAAGGTACATTAACTCATCCCTGTCAAGGTGACCTACCTGGAACTGCAGTTGACTAATGACGCTAAGATCTTAGATAGTAAGTCAGCCCTACTATATTTTCTCCTCTATGTATCTGTAGGATCTCCCATGTTGGAACCCCTTGAGTAATGACTGCACCTCGGCCACATACTTCAACATCTTATCTTCTTTGGATTCATACTCTCCCTTAACCTATTTGACCACCAACTGAGAATCGGAATAAAAATTACTCGTTGGGCTCCTTCCTTGGCGACGAGTTGGATTCCTTATAGTAGTGCTTCATGTTCTTCTTTGTTGTTTTAGGCCTTGAATGATAGTTTTACGGTGAACTCGAGATGTTATTGCTTTGGTGTTACAGTTAACACCCTTGCTCCTGCCCCTCCGATAGCCAAGGAGCCGTCAACACAGACCAACCACTGGTTGACCTCTTTTCCCACCGTGCTCTCCTGTATGAAATCTGCTAGGGCCTGAGGTTTTATAGCTCTGCTGACTTCAAACCTAACGTTGTACTTTTCAAGCTCAACCACCCTTTTCACCATCCTCCCTAAGGCCGAAGGTCGGCCTAAGGTATCTTTCAGTGCGTAATTGGTTCAGACTATGACCTTGTGTGCCAAAAAGTAAGGCCGCAACTTTCAGGTCGTTGATATAAGTGCCAACTTGGTCCTCTCAGCCTCAGGATACCTTTGTTATGTGTCTTGCAATACTCGACTTGTGTAATAGATCAACTTCTGCCGACCTTCTCATCCTTTTAACAAGACCGAGCTAATAACTAACTTACATATCGATAATGACAGTACCATTTTGTCTTTATGTTCTGGCTTGGTGAATAGAGAAACTCTACTAAAAATTCCTTAACGTGATTGAAATCTTGCTGGTCTTGGGTAGCCCACTAAGATCCTGATCCCATCCTTAGTGCTCATCATGCGACAAGATCTCAAGCTATTCTTTCTTACAACTTCATTTCAGACATTCAAGGTAGTCTACCTTCGGGCATTTCCTCACCCCCTGGGCCCTTGAGCTCTTCGGCACAACTTGACAACCCCTATTAGCCTACCACTGATCCTCCGAGACCTTAGCGACCTAATTCCAATCGAAAATTTCACCTTTATGTAGTAGATTGATACCGCTGCTTGAAAATAATTCAGACTAGCTTGCACTAGAATGACATTGTAAGCTGAGGTTGCGTCGAATACTAAAAAACTGATCGATCTTTTTTATTTTAAAGACAACTACCCTAGTATGGCTGACAAATACACCTCGCCAAATGGTTTGACTTCACCTCCACTAAAATGGTAGAGAGGTATATCAATCGGCTCAACCTTTCACTTTAGGCCCATCTGCTCCAAGCAATGGAGGAACATAACGTCAACTGAAATGTTGGTATCTACCACAATTCTTCGTACCACATGTATTTCGATTTTCATAGTTATGGAAAGAGAATCATTATGCGGGATGAAACACTCGCAATATATTCAGGCCGAAAACTTAAAGCAGCTTTAGGCTGCTCTTTTTGGACTCCTGCAACCTCGTCCTGTCGATTACTATGGATACGTCCCTCCGGGAAGTCTTCTGCTATTTTTTGAATCTCTTTTCCTTTAGATATTTTTTCTCGTGTTTCTTTCTTCATGGCTTCTTGTGTGTTTTTTTGGAATTGTCTTTTGAATGATCGATTTGTGAGAATATCATCAGCCCCTTACAGCATGTAAAATATTGACTCATTCCCTTAGACAACTCCAATTTGTTATGTCACTTGTGGTCACGGAAAGGGTCGAATGCCTACGCCTCGAAGGACCTTCATTATTGAGCTCCGATGACTTGCAATATGTCAGGAGGGGGTCCTAACAAAAAAACCTTCGACACTTCCGTCAAAACTCGCTGTATAACTGTATATATGGATTATGTAAGTGAAAGGTTGTTTGTAGTATTTTTGGGCATGTGGTAACCGAGCTACCCGACTTGGGTCGTTCTCAAAGGAAGGCTCTTCGGAGCTTCGTTCACTACCTAGTCATCTAAGAGCATGCTTGGATATAAATTTGTTTTGATTGAATTTTTGGTTTGGGTTGGTTAAATTTGAAAAAGTTGGTATGGTTAATTAGTGGGTATATTAAAATAATTTTTAAAATAAAATGATTAAAATTAAATTGATGTAAAAGTAGGAGAGAGAAGATGTGATGTGATGGTTAGGCATTTCCAATAAGTTCAATGAGTAGATGAATAGTAAGTTAAGGTTGATGTTGTGTGTTAGAATTAGACATAGCCAAAATTCGGGCCGAAGGGTTAGGTTTGGTGGACCCTGAACCGGCACGGCTTAGGTCCGTGCCGGGTCGGGCCCGGCCCGGATCTGGACCTGTCTCAATAAAAAAAAAAGAAAAAAAAGAAAATTTCAAAAACCATACATTTTTTTTTTCGTGTCGACCCTGACCCGACCCGGACCCGGCCCGGCCCGCCGGGTCATGGTCAAAAAAATCCTGACCCAGGATTAATCCGGATGAAATCTGAGCCGGGTCCGGACCCGTGGTCAACGGGTTTGACCGAGCCGGGTCTGGGCCGGGTCGACTGACCATGTCTAGTTAGAATGATTGATTGATATTAATTAATTATATTGATAATATTGATGATAGTGGGTTGATTGATTGATATTATTTAATTATATTGATGAAAGTGAGTTGAGTTAAAAAAATGGTTGAGTTAAAAATGATTAGATTTTTTTGGGAAAATCTTATAAACAAGTATCTCCTAAGTCACACAACCGAAAAGGTCCTAAACATTCTACTCGCAATTTGGGGGGTTTGAATTTAAACTAGATTAATCTACGAAATGAGAGCAATTGAAAGCAATTAACTAAGCACGCAAGAAGATGAGAGAAATCAAGGGGGAAAGAGAGATTTTGGTTCTCTGGAGTCACTATGATCAAACACGCACAAATAACCGAACATTGTCATGCGAGCTAAAACCCTAGGTAGCTAAACCAAACTTTAGCACAAGACGAGCAAGCATTCAAATCCTTGTCACACTTAGTCAAGCATTCTCGATCCAAAGATTCAATCCTTTCCTCCAACCAACACAAGCACAATATCAATTTTCACGAAAGCAAACAAAGATATACGAAGTAATGAGGCTTAAGACTAAGTACCCATTGTTACACGTACTTGAAAGAAGAAACGGAGTCAAAAGCTCGAAACTTTACTCGAAACAATGTCGCCGGAAATTCGCCGGAAAATATGCTCCAAACCAAAATATAAAAAAGAAAAAAAAGAAAATAGAGAGGATTTTCCCAACTTAAAAGTTGGGAAATGAGGGTTGTTCAAAAATACAAAGCAAGATGTCTTTATATAGCTACACCACAAACACACACTAAAACACGCACATTAAAATGGAACACTCTCGAGCTAGCTGCGAAATTCGCGAGCTCGCGCTGGTCAGTTGGCACAGTTGCACGGGTATGGAGACACTCTCGAACTCGCGTGCATATCCGCGTGGTCGCGGACGTGCGAATGGCTGGGATGCGGCTTGTGGTGCGTTGCAGCTGGTGGGCTCTTGATGTCGCGACAGTTTTCTCGTGGGCACGAGCGGCATAGGCTAGGCACTCTCGAGCTCGCGGCAGCGTCCGCGAGGTCCCGGCATGCACGGGGCGATGAGGAGCGGCACTCTCGACCTCGCCGCAGTTTCCGTGAGCACGCGAGTGATGGCAGTGCAGCGCAGCGTGTGCGGGCGTTGGGCAGCGGTAGTGCGGAGCGTGCGAATACGTGTGCGGTCGCGGGGCATGGTGCGTGCTTGCTAGTAAGCGGGGCAGCGGGGCAGCGTTGGGCATTGACTAAAGACGCGATATACTCGATTGATGATGATTCGTCCGAAATGGCTCCAAGTACTCAGAATTGACTTTGGAAAGCTCGTCTCAGAAATTAGCTCGACTCTTTCCTTTCGCACTCGGAACGAACCTGAAAATTAAACCCAAAAACACGGAAAAGTACGCCAAAATACAAAATGAAAGAGAAACACATAAAAATACACAAAATGCGACAAAATGGACCGGACGACACTAAAACGAACCTAAAACCAACTCAATAACACAAGCAATCACATAAAAATAAGCACAAAAACATAACAAACAACTCCCCCACACTTAGCTTTTTGCTTGTCCTCAAGCAAACAAAATAACAAATAGCTCGAAGAGATAAATCGAACGGTCCAAGATTAACGAACATG